TTAAAGAAATGAAAAAAGTTCCTACCCCCCCCCCCCCCCGGTACGGTGGTTAACGGGGTCTTTAAGGGTTAATATGGTACAAGATGTATTTAGTAGTTTGTCTGGCAGTGTTGAGAACACCTAACTAATGGCGTAGTCAACCTCTTGGGGCGAGATATACGATAGTATATATCACCTACGACTTATTTTATACACAATAGAGACGCGTGTAGTGAGTGTAATGATCAGTTAGACTCTATGACAACAATTTAATGTGGACGGGTATCTTGTAGTCTGTTTGGGGTAGAGGGTACACAGTGGACGGGTATCTTCCAGTCTGTGTGGGGTAGAGGGTACACAGTGGACGGGTATCTTCCAGTTTGTGTGGGGTAGAGGGTACACAGTGGACGGGTATCTTCCAGTCTGTGTGGGGTAGAGGGTACACAGTGGACGGGTATCTTCCAGTCTGTGTGGGGTAGAGGGTACACAGTGGACGGGTATCTTCCAGTCTGTGTGGGGTAGAGGGTACACAGTGGACGGGTATCTTCCAGTCTGTTAACGTGTATTACTACTAATACTCCTACCTATGATTATTCTTAACGTGTATATTACTACTAATACTCCTACCTATGATTATTCCTAACGCATGTATTACTACTAATACTCCTACCTATGATTATTCCTAACGCATGTATTACTACTAATACTCCTACCTATGAATAACCGGATCTGTAATGAATTTGTTATTTTGGCCTTATATATTTAAGACAGGAAGTTTTTAAATTTTCAGAAAAAACAAACAAAAAAAAACGTTTCACAAGTGGTTATTCTTACAAATAACTTGGTGAACTTTATAAATATTTCTGGTCCACCTTTTATGTGCATTTATACATTTGGTTAATTATATTTTAATTTTTATGCACAATACCTTTATGGTAAAGTCTCAAACTATGCTTACACCTATGATTATTATAAGGAGCATGAGTAAGTAAGTATGAGTAAGTGGTTAGCGTGGTCGTACTGTGAATTCGAGGGTTTCCGCATAAACCCGCTACGCACTTTGCGGCCGTGGGTGCGTTGTAAGAGTGAGAGTCAGGTCCCACTATTCGATTAGAAAAGGGTAACCCGTGAACGGAGGTGGGTGGTGTTGACAATCTGCGTTCCCTGCAGTCCGTAAATTCAAAATGAGGGACAATTATACGCAGACAGCCCTTTGCGAGACAATTTTGAAACAAAAATCGAACACTGACGAACGAGCTTACGAAAGGAACTAAATGGTTACTTCGTTAGCTACTGCTATGAAAACATTATTTTTACACCCAGACTATCCCCACGTAACACCCAGACTATCCCCACGTAACACCCAGACTATCCCCATGTTACACCCAGACTATCCCCATGTTACACCCAGACTATGCCCACGTAACACCCAGACTATCCACATGTTACACTCAGACTATCTCCATGTTACACCCAGACTATCCCCATGTAACACCCAGACTATCCCCACGTAACACCCAGACTATCCCCATGTTACACCCAGACTATCCCCATGTAACACCCAGACTATCCCCATGTAACACCCAGACTATCCCCATGTTACACACAGACTATCCCCATGTATGAATAATCATCGCCAAGTTAACTTGTTAAGATGTGGATAACAATGGTTTAGACTATTATAAATATAATGAAGCGTAGGTTAATATCACTACAACACAAACAACGAGAGCTGAACACCAAACACGTGTAGCATGATAAGAATAAATTATCATATTTATAGTTACTCTGAGAAAAACCTTCAAAAATTTCTGCTTAGATGATATCACAGCAACATTGATATAATTTTATACCTTATATATAAAGAATAGAAAGGTCACTGTAGATAGACAGATATTTGTAAACATACTGAGTTTTGTTTGAAACGCTTAACTTGTGCAGTGATGAAAAAGGTTGATTTCTTTACCAAATTTTAGGAAATTTCAGGATACGAGCGTTTCTTTTACTCTGCCAGTAAAGCGTGTCAAATTTGTCTTTTTTTTTTTCTATATCTATAAGAGAATGTTTTACTTGGAAGGAAGGATATATTATAATGAAACCGGTTGGTAATATTTAGTTTATCAATAGATCCGACCTTGAGGTGTAACGCGGTCGCAACAGAATGTTTTTGTACAGAGCTTCGGATTGGAGCATGACTTTCGTTTCCAGTTGCTGCCGGCTTTTAGACTTCTTACGTCCTAGTAACGAAAAGAAATAAACAAGACTTGATAGAAATGTATTTATCATTAAAGTTTAGGAAGGACGTCTGCATTGCTTACACTGTATTATCACAAAAACTCGAGTCTTATGTTCACGACAAAGTTGCGACGTGGCCTCACCCTGGTGGAAAATGTTTTAACCTGAATACATACTTCTCATAAACGACTTTTAACCTTCAACTTAATTTGATTGTTTTTTTAATGGGTGATGTTTTTTTTTTTTTAGATCCACACTTCAATAGCACACAACAACTATGATTCCAACAGTTTAACAGCTCAGCTACGCACAGAACACTCTAGTGACTTAACGTAGTAATTATAAGTCATGGGTCTTGTGTAATTGGTAAGTTTCCAGTGTTCCTGCTTTTGTTGAATGTATCCGTTTTCTGTTTCATATTTATATATATTCACAGCGTGAAACTAAATCTGCATTATGGTATAGAACAGCAATCTTTTTTTGACTGATGTTGTTTGTTGTTAAACACAAAGCTTTACAATGGGTTATATGTGCTATACTCATTGCAGGCATCGAACCCCAATTTTTAACATTATAAGTCCTTGGAATTATGTCACCAGGTGGGACAGCGATAAGTCTTCGGATTTACAACGCTAAAATCAGAGGTTTGATTCCCCTCGGTGGACACAGCAGATAGCCCGATGTGGCTTTGCTATTACAAACACACACTCACCCTTGGAATTATCGCTGAATCATTGCGGGGGGGGGGGGGATAGTTTTAACGGAACTACCCTTAAATTGATCCTCGTTCATCTGAGTACTTCACTTTTGTAGTAGTAGGTCTAACAAAGCCAATGTTGTTCCTAGTGAGTCTGTTAGGCTTAACAACACCAATGTTGTCCCTAGTGAGTCTGTTAGGCTTAACAACACCAATGTTATCCCTAGTAAGTCTGTTAGGTTTAAAAACACTGATGTTGTCTCTGGTGAGTCTCTTAGGTTTAAAAACACCGTTGTTGTCTCTGGTGAGTCTGTTGGGTTTAATAACGCCGATGTTGTTCCTAGTGAGTCTGTTAGGTTAAAAAACACCGATGTTGTCCTTAGTGAGTCTGTTAAGTTTAAAAAACCTATGTTGTCCCTAACGAGTCTGTTAGACTTAACGACACCGATGTAGTCTCTAGTAAGCCTATTTGCTCTCATCTCGCTTCTGTCTTTACATTGTTTTTTCTTTATATATTATGAACCGTATTATCACTATATTTTCACAAGCCAAATGTCATAGATACAGAGTGTCGTACTAAAGGCAAGCATGGTCAGTGTGGTTAATGGGCGCTAGACCCGTCCCACCAAACATGCTCGCCCTTTCGGCCGTGGGGCATTATAACTTGACGATCAATCCCACTATTCGCTGTTAAAAGAGTAGCCGAAGAGCTGGCGGTGGGTGGTGATGACTAGCTGCCTTCCCTCTAGTCTTCCACTGCTAAATTATGGATGGCTAACGCAGATAGCCCTCGTGCAGGTTTGCGCGAACTTCTAAAACAAACCCAACCAAACTAAAGGCAAAGCAGACTGCAGCTTCAATGGTAAAGCAGAAGTAACTCAAATCACTGCTAATAATAAGCGATCTTGAGCGAACCAATCACAGAGACTGGTTGTGTTGCCACCACAGCTGCTTTCTTTTACCAATAGGTCATTTATCTTATTCATTTGTTTTATGTTATTATAACTTGGTGTTCGCAGGTTGGGAATCAATAGCAAAGCAAACCACAGTAATAAAACTAAAGAAGGTAGTAAGATTTGGTTCTTTTTTTGTAGTGTATATACAGACCCTGTTTTAAGTCAAAATAAGCTACTTTCATCGGGGAAGAGACCAATCAGCTGTTAGCTTCCTAGAACTGGACTTGACTAAAGTACCCTTAAACAGATCCTCATTCATCCGAGTACCCCACTTCTGCAGTAGTAGGTCTAACAACGCCGATGTTGTCCCTAGTGAGTTGTTAAGCCTAACAACACCGATGTTGTCCTTAATGAGTCTGTTAGGCTTAAAAACACCAATGTTGTACCTAGTGAATCTGTTAGGTCTAACAACGCCGATGTTGTCCCTAGTGAGTTGTTAAGCCTAACAACACCAATGTTGCCCTTAATGAGTCTGTTAGGCTTAAAAATACCAATGTTGTACCTAGTGAATCTGTTAGGTCTAACAACGCCGATGTTGTCCCTAGTGAGTTGTTAAGCCTAACAACACCGATGTTGTCCTTAATGAGTCTGTTATGCTTAAAAACACCAATGTTGTACCTAGTGAATCTGTTTGGTCTAACAACGCCGATGTTGTCCCTAGTGAGTTGTTAAGCCTAACAACACCGATGTTGTCCTTAATGAGTCTGTTAGGCTTAAAAACACCGATGTTGTCCCTAGTGAGTCCGTTAGGCTTTAGAAAAGCGATGTTGTACTTGTGAATGAAACTGAGAATAGGAACAATTATTTTGATAAAACTTGCCTTCTATGTTCGAGTTAGTTATACAGAGAATTAAACGTGATAATTTGGGGGACGTGGCAAATTTAATCTATGCTCTTACAATTCACCCACGGCTTAAAGTGCTGAGAATGTTTTGTAATAACGAACGGATTCGAACCCGACCCGCTAGTTCCTAAATCCATAGCTCTACCAAATACGTCGAAGGACGTGTATCCCACGCAGTGCCCCCAAGGTTCAGAGGGAATCTTGAAAGTTTATAATGTAAAATTCAGGGTTCGACCCCTGCTGTTGGCACAGCACAATTACTTTAGTATCTGAAAGCTACTTAAAAATTCGCTTGAATAAAGAATATTTATGCCAAGAAAAAACATAAAATACATAAATAAACGCAATGGCATTGCATCATAAACAAAAGAAAAAATAGTTTCCAGTGTAAGTTTCACTAAACTACCACAACTACTGTTGTCAGATTCTGATACGAACTTTACTGATGTACAAATATTTTTCCCCAGACAAATGGTTTTGAAACCTTCGTAATCAGAAGACGAACTCTATAATCTAGCCTTTCAGCAGGACACGCACGTGACTCAAATAACGATGTACACGCTCGAGTCACGTTGTCTGCTACAAAGTATTTCTGGGTTAATATTTATGACTTTATATATTGGTGTTTTATTACTAAATCAACAAGAAAGACTTATATTGATGAATAAAAATGTTTTCAATAAGTTTAGTAATTAACTGATATTGAAACGTGGTTGTTATTTGTTTTTAAGAAAATGTTCTATAACGGTTGTAAATTCGTCTCTGGCTTATGTTTCTTTTTAATCTTCTTTTAAAAACGTTATTCAATTTCCAGTTTTTTATACCGTCTGATCGAAAAGTTTTAGGAAACGATTTACAGGTGTGTTTGTGTTTTTTTTTAATTATAAAAACTGGAAAGATGTACCAACCTTAGAGATTTCCATATTCCTTGCACTTTGCAACAATGACATTAACTAACACTTTTAACTATACAGTTTCCTTGCACTTTGCAACAATGACATTAACTAACACTTTTACTATACAGTTTCCTTGCACTTTGCAACAATGACATTAACTAACACTTTTATTATACAGTTTCCTTGCACTTTGCAACAAT